CCACCACCCCCCTTCAGCAAGCTAGACCTGAAAACAGCTCTTCTTCAAGTTAATCTGGCCGTCTCGAAAATGATGCATTCGGAATATTGTACAAGCCCAACTGATGCTCTCTCTCTCCCTCTCGATAGAGAGCCTCCAATTAAGGTGCAGACACACATACACACCCTCACAACGCAAACGCATAACCACACTTGAGCAAGCCCCAGTCTTACAGGATTACGGGTCGGTTCAACTCGACCTCGCGAATCTTGCAAATGGATTGAATTTCATCCTGACATCTTTTTTTTGGTTTAATCTTTTTTTCCTCATCGTTTGCGAATAATGTTTCCTTTTTTGGCACGAGCCAACTCGCGGGACGGAGGGTTGACATCTTCTTCGGCCCTTTTAAAAGTTGCATCTCCAAGGCAACCCTCCTTCGGCATTATTCTGTATTCACCGCCGCTTGCAACCACGTCAAAAGTCTGTGATGTTGTCTCCATATTGCATTATGTCTGTGTGTCGCTTCGTTTCTGTCTGTTTGTGCTGCTCGAAGCCTCAACTCGGCCGACGTTCATCGGCGGGACTGGAAAAACCGACAAGTCCGACGAGACAGACACCAATTCTGTCTCTTCTCCGCTTTCCTGCTGTCCGTCTGTCCGTGTGCTCATCTGTCTGTCCCACCGTCTTTGCGTGTGTGCAGCAAACAGATTGTCAAACGGCGAGGAGATTCCAGCCCGTACAACCAGTAACTTCGTTGTCACGTAGCAACTGGAATGCTCAACTTGTGGATACGGTGACAAGTCATTTGTTTTCGGTAGCAAATTGCCAATTGCATCTCGCAGCATTTTAAAACAAGTTGCTCAAAAAAATAGAAAAAACAGTCTCTTCACGACAATCAGGCCGTGTTACGTCTAACACACCGACACGCTGGGCTTCGAGGGACAAGCGGACATAGAGCCGGACATTTTTCTAGGTTCTCACTACTCACGAAACGCTATCAGTAGCATCAATTTTGGGCGTAATCAAAATGAAGCCGATTATGTCATTGTCTCTGCAAAGATAAACTCTTCTGTATGGAAAATCTGGCTCGAGGCGATTATTTTTAAGACGGACTCTCGTGGAAACTGCCCATTTTGTCGTTCTCCTTCGGCGGACAAACATGCTCAGGCCCAACTCGGTCTTGTTTCTTCCGAATCCCGCCTGAACCAGCGTCTACGTGCGACGTAATTTGAAACAGCTAATTTGTCTTTAAAATAAAAGAATAAAAATGCTCCAATTCACGGGTTGGGCAAACGGTGCCAGTTTGTCGGTTGGTTCCGCGTTTGTCGTGTCAGGCGGGAGGCGAATGCAGACAATCTCGGGCGAGTTGACCGGCCGAGGATGCCAACACGAACGTAATTGTGAATACTACTTAAACGGAATATGAGTAATGTGCTCGAGGATAATTGAAAATGCATACACAGAGAAAAATGGATCTTTTGCAAAGAGGGAGACTGGGCACTGTAGCGGTGTGTGGGTTCTTGTGCGGGAGAGAGAGAGAGATTTTGACAAGACTACCACCTTACCCATTAACACACGCTCTCACTCACAGCTACACACACAAACACACACGTCAGTCATTGTTTAACTTGCAATTTGCTAGTTTGCATGAGTTGGTGGAGGGCAAATAGTGCGGCATGCAAGCTGGCCTTTCGAGAGGCCGGTGGAGGCTGGCATGAGGCTGATTGGTGGACGCGCCGTGCCCTGATTGGTCCTTTACGCAGACGCAATAACGCCCAAGACAGGACGGCGAGAAGATGTTCCTGCGCTTGTCTTGTCCACCAATCAGAACACTGGGCCTCTAGCGCTGCGCGATTTGATTGGCTGATTGATTCTATTCGAGGCTCTGGCCTCTTTTGATGGCTGCGGCTTGGCTCGCCGGCTTCCCAGCATGTCGGTCGAGAGGGGGCGTCCTGCCGACGCGTCGCGCTCTGATTAGAGCATATGGACCAATCACAGGTCAGCGCGTCGGCCTCTAAGCGCAAGGGTGGGTGGTGGGAATGGGTGAGCGGCGGTAAGTGGATTCAGTTGGTACCGTCTCAGAAAATGAGTTGGCTTTGCATTTTCTCATTTAATTTGCTCTCGACGCTCCAATTGTCTACTCACATTCGGCGTGAGTAGACTGCCATTTGGAGGGCTTTCGAATTGGGGAGGAAGAAGATACGAAATTCGACGTACAGTCCTTACACACATCAAATGAAATAGGATGAACACATCACAAATGTCATAGAAGAGAGATATGTGCGCATCGAGACTACCAGTAACTTGGTGATGTGAGATGTATGGACCCTAGTTGGTTTAAGGTGATCAATTTTCCCACAATCACACGAGTAGAGCTGTCAGGTGTCAATGGAAACGTCAACTCGACTCACACGATTGTGGGAAAATTGTACTACCAGTCGGTAATCACCTCAAACGGAATAGGGCGAATACATCTCGCATAGATGAAGTTTTGTACATGATTGGGTCAGATCACTCGACGATGGGGACAGAAAACGAGAGACGAGGAAGAAAAAGGTAATAAAAGCAGACTGGACTGGCCTGGAACGCGGGCTGGGAGCGTGTCTTTAAGTGAATGGATGCATACAGATAGACGAGATGACGACAACAGTTGGGTTGTATGGAAGTGGTTTAATATGGTTTTGACAATTTGGTCGCAGCGGCAGATACGTGTCAAGCTCACATTCTGTATCGTCACGGTTCGACTCCCGCTGAGGGTGTTGATAAGACCAGTTGATGCGAGGGCGAAACTGCAGTCCACTG